GGGAGCTCCTTATTACAATCCTAGCTTAATGCGCCCAAAACCCTGTTCGAATATTGAGGCCCCTACCCTAAACCCTAAGCCCTAAACCCTAAACCCGAAGCCCTAAACCCTAAACCCTAAACGCTTAGACCATCATAAGCCCCACCTCCCAGTCCCGTCGAGGCGGAGAGGCCTCTGTGCGACTCTGGGCAGGGAGCTCAGAGATGCGGTTTTTGGGGGTTTAGGGGTTCAGCGTTTAGGGGTTTAGGGTTTAAGGGTATAGGGTTCAGGGGTTTAGGGGTTTAGGGTTTAGGGGTTTAGGGGTTTAGGGTTTAGGGGTGTAGGGTTTCGGGTTTATGGCCCGAAACTCGCCATGGTCCATTTCATGCTCTTCGATATATCGTAGACAGTGTTGCTTCGTTACTTTCGTGATCTTGCACAGTCTCGGTGCGGGCGCATGGAACTCTAAAGCTCAAACTCGGAACCCTTGCCTGCACTTTAGCGGGCCCTACTAGACCTACAAAATTAACTGCACTTGGACGGAAAGGCTTGTGAGACTCCCAAGCTCGGACGTCATTAAGAGCGCAAGTAGAGTTGATTCTGATGGGCGCAGGGTGAAATTCGAGCTTGGGTTCTAGGATGTTTGGGGTACAAGTCACATGAGCCGAGACCAGTACAACCTACCCCCTTGGAGGGACATTGACATCTCCGTCACATGAGTTGGGTTCCTACTTATGGGGTCCCGGGACCGTGGCAACTAGGTTGGCGCAGGTATTAAACCATAAGCATGTATCAGCCCAACAAGCTCAAAAGCTTAGAAGCCTCTAAAAGCTTTACAACACCCCAGCAAAACCCTGTAAACCCCTTCCCCAAAACCCCAAGTTCGCCCTGAACCCTAAACCCTAAACCCCTAAACCCCTAAACCCCTAAACCCCTAAACCCCTAAACCCGAAGCCCCCCATAAATCCCCAAGCTCGAAAGGACCACGCCACCGGCCAAGCGCTGGGAACTCTGGAGCGCCTTGGCTTCGACCACAGGGGAACTCCGCTACTGTAGGGGCCTAAATAATTACCCATACTATTTTGCGGGGGTTCCTGTTTCTAATTATAGTATAATGGGTGCCCTTAACTCTATTACATTGGGTAGAACTCTCCGTTGATGGTTCAGGGTAGAAAGAAGTGAAGGAACTCGATTAATTGCTACTATCATTCCTAAGGGTTCCGTATTGTACTTAGAAGGTAAAGGATTGGGGTTTGGGGGTAGGCTTTTTGGACTCGGGGTTTGGGGCCTGGGGCCTAGTGGTGTTGGCTTAGGCTTCAGGTTTGTTGCAATGAGCTACTTCCGTTGGATGCTAGCCGACGGTGATAGTTCGCGGGCTTAGGGTTCAGGTTTAAGTTTGAGGCTTCAGATGCTGATGCCTTTGAAGGTCCGACTACTCGAGACCCCATTCTCGCCTCTGTGACGTTGTCCTTCAGGCAGTATGACCCAGGAGGCAGACACATGCATACCCATATGCGCGGTTTGGTGCTAATGCAGACCTGACGAAACATGCCTGTAAACCCTAGGCCCTGAACCCCGAGCCTTAAAACCTGAACCCGGAGCAACTATCATCTATTTGTCTATCTATCTGTCTATCTGTCTGTCCATATATGCATGTCCATGTCTATATATATATATACACACACACACTTATTTATATATTTCCTGTTTCTACATACGTGCAACTCGTTACCTACCTACCTACCTACCTACCTACCTACCTACCTACCTACCTACCTACCTACCTCCCACCTGCCTACCTACTACCCCTACCTACCCCTACCTACCTACCTACCTACCTACCTACCTACCTACCTACCTACCTACCTCCCTGCCTACCTACCTACCCACCTACCTACCTACCTACCTACCTACCTACCTACCTACCTACCTACCTACCTACCTACCTACCTACCAACCAACCAACCAACCAACCAACCAAC